ACCGAATATGAGTATGAGTATGAGTATGAGTATGGGTATGGGTATGAGTATGAGTATGGGTATGGATACGAGTATGGGTATGAGTATGAGTACTATGGGCCATAAGTATGAGTACTATGAGTTTGAGTTAACGTACAAACTAAGAATGTGGAACAGCTTTATTTTTTCGTAAACCATTCATAAATATTTAACTTCAATAAATCTTTAACTTTTAATGTTATGAAAATCGTTTTATTTCATCGAAGAATTTTTAATATTAAAATGTTGCTATTTCATAAATTCTAGTTGATATTTTTCGAAAAAATATCTTCCAGATTTAGCATTAAATTACAGCAGGGTAGACACGCATAGTGGCAACAAAGTAAACCATTTCCTTTTAATTTGTTCTTCATTCCAATAATAAAATCATTTTATTTGAGAAAAGAACCCAATTAATAGACCTTATTCGTTGTGCTGCAATGTTTTCCCATTACAGACCACGTATCAGTTTCTTGAGCATAATATTCTTAGTTTGAGTTGTATCCATACTCATGTGTCTTCTTATGCGCAGCCGTTAAACAAAGAAATAATATTCTAGGAAACGACACGGTATGGGAAAACATTGCACCACGGCGAATGAGATCTATTCATAGAAAAGAGATACAGTTGTACTGTCCAACATGGCTGCCGTCACGGGATATTGGCAAACCATATACTGCTTCATATATGTCTAAATAGACTTTGAAGGATTGATGAATCATTTAAGTTGATAATTAACTATAATTATTTTAATCATTTTGATTTGGTTTACATGATTTTGAAAATAAAAGCACGAAAAAAATGGCGGCTATAGATTCATTGCTTTAACGAAAGGCATCGCTGCTTGTTTCAGTGTTTTAACAATGGAAAAGTTTCAACCAACATAGCAGCCTTTCGGTTTTAAAAGCCAGCGTAATAGGTAAATTACAAGCCTTGTATGAAACGACTGAAGAATAGGGCGCCATTTTGGCAGAAATATTTAAAAAATTCCGTTTTTAATCAACCAACGTGGCGTCCATTTTCGTTTCTAATTCATACGGCTTAAACAACGAAATAAAAGTATTTTGAAATTTTTCCATCACATAAATGATGAAAATCGTTGATTCAATATTAAATCGCTTTTTTTTCGGTCAGAAGCGTTTCAACTTCTATCGTAATAATTTCAAAATATAAAAATCGTAATAAACAAAATATAAAAATTATAATCAAAGAATTGAAGAGACTTTTAAGTCAAAACTTGGTTGAGAAAATATCGAAAGCTTCTCACAAAATATTGTCTTGAAGTTTTTTCACCGCAAAAAAAAATATATATATATATACATATTCATTTTCTTAGTTCAAACAGTGATTTATTTAACGTTAGCGGTTCCTTCGACTGGAAGATTTTTTGTCAGCGATGGAAGCAGACAGAATGCACTTCATAACTCCCTTTAGTCCAGTGGCGGATCCAGGGGAGGGGTGCAGGGGGTGCGCACCCCTCCCTGATTCGACCTTGTGCCCCTACTTCAAAGATTTAACCAATACAAATAATGTTTTTCCCTTTGATTCTAAGGGGTGCACCCCTCCTTGGGTTAACTATGTGCGCTTCGCCCCTCCCTAAACAAATTCCTGGATCCGCCCCTGTAGTCAGTGCTACAAGATAAAACAGGTATGCAAGATTTATGGAAATTGAAATACAGCGGTACCTCTTTAACTTGGACACCTTCGTGACCTTGCCTGGTGTCAGTGTAACGAATTTCTTTTTCTTTTTTCTTTTTTGATAAAAATTCTCTCAGGTAGTTTGCGATCATCTTCAAGAGGTTGTAGTAGCGAAAGGGGGTGCCATGTTAGTGATATAAACTTTAGAACAATAGGTCCAGCCAACATGGCCGCCATACGGAAAGCAAGCATTAGTTTGCATTCTTTTAAAGAAATCAGATTCCAATTTGCAATTCATCTTATAAAAATATACCCAATACAATTTGAATTTAAAATGATGCTTTCGAGGTTCGTTCAGTCGGAGTCTTCGTCACGTGCAGCACCGCTGGCAGAAGATTTTGCAGATGCCTTTCTGGAGTTCTTGTTGGAATACTCTGATGTATCCGATACATCATCCCCGTATGAAAGGTTCATCCCTGGCTTGATTAGGTGGGATTGGTTCAGAAATAATAACAGCTGTTTTTTGTAGATGTCATCCTCTTCTGTTTCATTGTCTTTGGGGATGAATTCAGGGTTAGAGTGCCCGTCAGGGAAGGGCTTCGGGCGAGTTTCGTCATCATATACCATAATTTCCAGAGGAATGATATTCATATTGCTGCCAGGGTGATAGATGGTATATGTCCTGTGCAAATATGAACATTTAAGTGAATAGAATGCCCAACATTGACAGATGGTACGCAAAGCTCCTTATGAGAAAATAGTCTAAGGAATAAATGCGAAATAGATCGCAGTAACATTCCCCTGCACACCCACCCCTGCACATTCACCCCTGCACATCCACCCCTACACATCCACCCCTACACATCCACCCCTGCACATCCACCCCTACACATCTACCCCTGCAAATCCCTCCCTGCACATCCACCCCTGCACCTCCACCCCTGCACATCCACCCCTGCACCTCCACCCCTGCACATCCACCCCTGCACCTCCACCCCTACACATCCACCCCTACACATCCACCCCTGCACGTCCACCCCTGCACATCCACCCCTGCACATCCACCCCTGCACATCCACCCCTGCACATCCACCCCTGCACGTCCACCCCTACACATCCACCAATACACATGCACCCCTACACATGCACCCCTACACATGCACCCCTACACATGCACCCCTNTACACATGCACCCCTACACATGCACCCCTACACATGCACCCCTACACATGCACCCCTGCACATCCCGCTGCTCTGCTATATAGTTTAGTTTACCTTTTTTTCTTCTTTCTACGCCTAATACAGCATATAAGCAGAAGAATCAATAGCAAGAAGATGACACAGCACACGGCGATGATAATCCAGATTACTGCCAAAAACAAAAATAGGTAAAATCACTTCACCGATTTTAACATCCAATCACAACTCGTAGTTACAATTGTGGTTACGGTTACGGTAACACACGCTACGGCTGCAGTACGGTTACCAATAAACGTTTTAACTCGTGGACACGCGAAGCGTAGAAACGAGTTGTAGTGAGGGGTCTGAATATGCAAATGTGTCACTCACTCGCTCACTCACTCACTAAGATGTTAGCAGATCGATAAACGTTTGTCGATCATCTTACGTCATCTGATTACGAATGTTCAACACGACACTAGCAAGCACAAAGCTCTTATATACAATATAGATTACTTCGTTATTTATATGAGGAAACGAGATGCTGATGTTCCATGTGGGATATATTTCTAGCACTTGTAGACGCCGTGGGGGCCCACTGTGCATGCGCACACTCGCACATAGTTTTATCTTCGAATTATTCATATTAAAAGAATCAAGGAAAGATGCGAATTAAAATAAAATTATACAATTAACGCCTGAAATAAAATTTCAATGAGTTAGACCTTTTTTTCTGATGTATTAAAGTAAACAAAAACGCTGTACAACGTCAACATTTCGATTTTTCAGAAGACTCGTAGATCGAACCGGATATCGAAAAAAGCTATCTTAATTAGAACTCAAGAAGAGAGTCTGATTTCAAGCTCTGGAGGCCTTTATTCTCCATAGAGACATCTCAAAGTCACGGCGGTATTCAGCAAAAAATCTCATAAACTCGATCGAGCGAAGTTTTAATATTACTGATCAACAGTTGTAGAGTGCTTTTAGTCTCACTGTTGAATAGGTGACGTCAACTAAATGAGATAAGTTATTTACTATTTTAGCTGACTTCACCTAAATTTGAAACTACGAGTAAACAGCTTCTTAGATCAGGGATAGAAACGATGATACAAATGAATGTCTATTCACTCATTCTCTGGTAAAACAACCCCCCGGATTAGCATGACCGTTATTTGACGCGCTTTTACTATTTTAGGTGACGCCAGCTAAATAGTTATCTAAGTTAGATACATTT